GAAGTGCAAATGGTAAGAGTTCCTTCCTTTTTAGAGCAGCATAGTATTCCATCGTGTAGATGTACCACAGTTTTCTAATCCATTCATCTACTGATGGGCACTTAGGCTGTTTCCAGATCTTTGATGTAACTGCCACCAGGTGGGGGCAGTGTAGTTTTCTTCACCAGGTAGCAAGATGACCTTTCCAGCCAAGACTGAAGAAATGAGTCAGATGCCTACCACACAATCTAGGCAAGCACAACTGGTCGCAAAGAGCCAGCCCAAATTCTCAAAGCCCATGACCTTCATAAATCTAAAGGCAGAGCAATAAACCATTATGCCTAATAGAGACAGAACTGTTTTATTAAGCATCTATGCCCATACAAGGGCCTATTTGCAGGTGAGAAGCATATAAATCACGGTTCCTTGACTGTGAGATCAAAATCAAAGCCTGAAAGGACTGACAATAGAAAAATCTTGGCCAATATAAACTGAGGAGTTGACCAAATAGAGATGTAAGTTCCTAGAATAGTGGTCCTCAAACTACGGCCTGCGGGCCACATGCAAATGCAAATATTTTATTTGTTCCCGTTTTGTTTTTTTACTTCAAAATAAGATATGTGAGGTGTGCATAGGAATTTGTTCATAGTTTTTTTAAAAACTATAGTCCGGCCTTCCAATGGTCTGAGGGACAGTGAACTGGCCCCCTGTTTAAAAAGTTTGAGGATCCCTGTCCTAGAAGGTAGAGGGGATATAGCATTACTCAAGATACGTCTCCAGTACACATGGACCAGGGTTCAGGCCACTGCAGAAGAAGGCAACTATATGATTGTTAATAGAGATGCTCGTTTCAGATTGAGTTGCATCACAAGAGCTTGATTAAATGGAAAAAATTTAAGCTGAGGTGGGGATGGTTTGAACAGAGGTAAGAACTGTTAACATTCAATAGAGCCTGGGTCACTCTCTCTGCCTACCAGCTTTTCTAAAATACTGAAATAATCTCCATAATTTTACTGGAAAATTTTTTTTGGATAATCCATGAATTTATTGAATCACAAAAGGAAAAAGGATTTGATCCATTTTGTGAGATAAGCAAATAAAACAAGCAAGATAACTGTGGCACATACACACTTTTGCCTATGAGATATATGGGATTTATTTTTTTTTCCTTCCATAAAGAAACATGTTTCCTCCCACTTTCCCTAAAATATATAGCACTCTTGGTCTAACTTTCTCCTAATTTTTGATAATGTAGATAAGTACTTTATACTCACTATGATAGATATTTTGTCTGTTTGGTTCCTCTCTGTATAATCATGTCCTAAACATAAACAGGGCACTCTAAAATCAATTAGCTTTCCTCTTAATGTTACTATAGAGAATAGAAAAGGCTACAGAGTGTGGTGGAGACTGTGGGAAACTAAAGCATATGGCCCACAAAAAAACAACAGCTACTACACAACTTGAGGCACTTGTTGCCAATGTAGGAATATGGACCCAGTTTTGTCATATCTGCTCACTTCTAAAGATAAACTGAAAAACAAACAAACAAAAAAAGATAAACTGGAAACACAAAACTTTATGTGCAATCTCCAGTTTTAAACACTGGCAACTAGTCATATTTTAAATAAATGATGGACAGGCCGACACTACAGAGACTAAAGAAAACACATTTGAAAGGCTTTAAAAAGTCTCTGAGCCTACAGTCATCTACCTCTGATCTAGTCCAACCCTGTCATTTTACTGATGGACAGAGGGGAAGTGACACAACCAATGTTACACAGAGTTAAAAGATGACTTGAAAATACAATCATATGTATATAGATTAGCTCATATATTGGTTATCACAGTTCTTGCCTTTCTTCCCTTAAGAGGAGTTTATGGAATTTTCCCCCTAACCCCCACCCAGCATTTGTATATGACTTTATATTTTCTTAAAGGCATTTCAAAATAAATGATTTCATTTATAATCCACAATAACTAAATGGGGTAGGTGAGCTACCTATTGTCCCCATTTTCCCAATAGGAAAGAGATGTAGAGAGATTTAAGCTCCTTTCACAAGAACACAAAGAGCTAGTTAGTTAGTGGTAGAGCTCAGAATAGATCCCTCATCTTTTAAAATCAACTTCATGTGTGATACAATGCACTCTCTTAAGTGTACAGTTTGACACATTTCCACAACATTCTTGCAAGCATCACTGCAAAGAATTCCTCATGCTTACTTGTAAGCATCCACTCCCTCCTTCTCACACCATCCTATACTAGTATAATAAAAGCCTAATATACTAAGTGTCCGGTCAACCAGTTGGCTGTTCAATCAAAGTGTAATATGCTAATGATATGCTAAGGACATTCAACTGCTCACTATGATGTGTACTGACCACCAGGGGGCAGATGCTCCAACTGGTAGGTTAGCTTGCTGCAGGGGTTCGGCCGATTGGGACTGGGTAAGACGGACCAGACACGCCCTGGAGCCCTCCCGTGGTCCCTCCCCAGCTGGCCAACCTGCCGTGTTTCTCCCCGGCCCTGATCATGCACCGGTGGGGTCCCTAGGCCTGGCCTGCGCCCTCTCGCAATTGGGACCCCTTAGGGGATATCAGAGAGCTGGTTTTGACCCGATCCTGCAGGCCAGGCCGAGGGACCCATTGGTGCATGAATTCGTGCACTGGGCCTCTAGTCCAGTGATGGTGAACCTTTTGAGCTCGGCGTGTCAGCATTTTGAAAAACCCTAACTTAACTCTGGTGCTGTGTCACATATAGAAATTTTTTGA